ATAAAAACCGTGCTTACTATTAAAAGAGATAATTGAGACTTTTTCAGCAGAGAATAGAAATTATAAAGCAGGATTAAATGAGAATTCTAAAACAAAAATTAAAACAAAAACCCCCAACCATCTGACAGAAAACTTCCTCTTAAAACCCTCACAAAACAAACTATGGTTGGTTCGTTATAGGCTGTAGCACGTATGACTGACATATATGTAATCTTAGTTTAAAGGTGTGAAGAGACAGGCAGAAGCAATATTTGAAGGGACAATGGCTAAAACTTTTCTGAAATAGAAGGCATCAAGTCCAGATTTAAGTATCCCTATGAATTCTATAGAAAGTAACATAAAGAAAAACATATGGAAGCCCAAAAGAGTACAATTACTGAAAACCAAAAACAAGAGTATCTTGAAAGCAACCAGATTGAAGAAAAAAAAGAGGTTCTTTTTAAAGGAGTATGAATAAGACAAGGATGGCTGAAACCATCAGAAAGTTGACCAGAAAAAGGAAGCCAAGAAAAACTTAGGTTCCTTGACCATAATGTTGAGACAGCAGATCTCTGGACTTACTGCTAATTAAACAATAAATGTCTTTACAGTACAAAGGACAGTATGATATTGTTACCTGGAGCAGAAACTATTCCTGATATTGACATAATGTTTAATAGACAAGCTAGACAAGCACCTAAATAATATTTAAAGGTATGACTGATATGGAATTTTCTGAATTATAAATATGAATCCTTAAACACTGTGGATAATAAAGAAAAGAATATGTATATTTATATCCAAGACAGCACAATAAAGCTACAGAGGATAAGGCATTATGTAAAATCTTAAAGACTAAGAAGGACAAGATAACTTATAAACAAATAAAAACTAGAATTAAATTTCTCAGACTATGACATTTTAATACAAAACCAGAATAGTACAAAGAAAGTAACTTTCAATTTCACCTAGGAACGTATATACAAAGATCTTAAAGTAACAAAATAGATTTCGGGATTGCATATTTAAACAATCAGAAGTAAGCAGAGTTCATCCAAAAATGCAAGATAATCCATCATTAGAAAGCTAATGCAATAAGCCACATTTTCATATTTAAAGGACAATATGTATCACTGAACAGATTCAGCAAAGCCAGTCGTAAAATGTTACACTTCTTCCTAATAGAAAGCTGAGCAAGGTAGTGAGAAGTGTGCCAGGATATGTATTGAAAACAAAGAGCAAATATCTCAGTACCAACACAATGACACCGACTCACTCTACTGGCTTATCTGTAAATACCAGGATTATCTACATGGAAAGCAGGAGTTTGTCCTCAGCCTGGGCAACAAGGGAGACCAGTCTCAAAAAAATTACAAGGCTCTGTAATTTAAGACAGTATGCTACTACCAAAAGAACAGACAGATCAGGACAGCAAGTCAAAAAGTCTCCCAAGGCAGAACCACATATTTAGGAAAACCTTATATGGGATAGATGGCATTATAAACTAAGATGGAATAGATTACTCAATAAATATTTCTGGGATGATTACTTATTCATATAGAAAAAAATTAAATTTCCTACTTCATACTGACTTTGGTATACCAAAGTCACTTCTCGGTGAATTAAAGATTGAAAGGAGAAAATCAGAACATTTAAAAGAAAACATAAGCTGAATGTGGTGGTGCTTGCCTATAATCCCAGCTACGAGGGAGGCTGAGCGGGAGGATCCAAGGCTTGAGGGCCCACCGAGAATTTAGTAAGACCCCCCTCTCAAAAAAAAAAAAAAAAAAAGGCGGGGTATGGAGCTCATGAAAGAGCAATTGCCTAGCATGCATGAGGCCATGGCTTCAATCCCTAGTAGGAGGGGAAAAACATGGAGAAAAATTTTTCTGATCTAGGTAGAAGTGATTTATCTAAGACAAAAAGCACAGGTAATAAAATGTGACAATTTTGGCTATATTAAAATTAAAACATCTGTACAAAAAAATCGAACATAAGTGTAAAGAAGGTGACAAGCTACAGACTGAAAGACATCAACAAAAATATAAATAATAAAGTACTCGTGAGCCAGTCTATATGTGTTTTTAAAAACTTCTAATAAACAAGTGAGAAAACTTATGGATCATCCAAAGATTTACAGCTCCTGTTTTAGAGTAGCTTCTCCAAATCTCAGTCAGAAACCTCAGCTGAATTATGCTTGAAAAGCACGCCAAGTATATCGGCTCGAGATCCAGTTGCGTAAAAGTGACCTTTTGGGCTTTCACCAACTTCTCGAGAGGTTGTAAACAGCTTGTACGAGTGACTTTTGCTCTCTCCCCGACCAGGCAAACGCTCTCAACTGCTACAGGCCGAGTGGACAGAGGGTCAGGCAGCTCGGCCAGGGTCCGGCACCCAGAAACGGGGAGGAAGCCGCCCCTTTTCTTCCAAGCACTTGCACCCAGACAGGCGCCCAGGAGCTCCGGGAGAAGGGTCCTCGGCGGACAGGAAACGACTATCACAATGAAAGTCCCTCCTAGGCGTGCGGACCCCAACTCCACCGCACCCCGACCCAGGGTGGGAACTGGCTGCAGGAGCCGGGGCGCCACAGCCTCCTGGGTAACGGCCTCAACCGCCTGCTGCTAAGTGCCCGCCCCGGCCCCCCAGATCCGCGCCTTGAAGAATCCCACACTCACTGGAAAGTGGGGCCAGGCCCGGGTCCCGGCCCGGCCCCCAGAATGCGGCGGGTCTCCCAGGGTTTCGGGGGAGGCGGCGGCTGGGACGCCATCTCTCGGCCTCCGCTCGGCTCCCGCGGCGGCCCGGACTGTTCAGGCGGGGTGCACCAGCCGACCGCGGCCAGGCGCAGCGGGAGGAGCGCCGAACCCTCCACCCGCCCACTCCGGCCACGCAGGTCGCAGTGTGTGGTATTTTTCCAGCTGAGGCCAAAGGGCGAGCGGGTACCACGAATTCACGGAGGAAATAGTCTCTTTTTAGTTGCCCTAGACTGTTTCGGTGCTAAACCTGAGGGTCAGGGCTCATCGATATTTCTGGCGGCGGCTACAATGTCCTAGATACTGAGTGCCATGGAGGCCTCTGTGGCACTACCCAACTCCGGCGCGGGGTAAGGCCCCGTGCGCCCTAGCACTGGCAGGGAAGCTGGCGTGTGAGGTTGCCAACCCGACACTTTTTCAGATTTCCCTACAGGCAAACGGGGGAGGCCGCTCATTCCTCTCGGGCGGGGAGTACTTTTGTTCTGTAGCTCTCGTTTCCTAGGGGAACAGAATTGCAAGACGCAGTGGGTGCGTTGTCTTTAGCTTTCCCCAATCTCTTTGCGAGGCGGAAGGGTTAAACCTCAGGCTCCAGCAGCTCGGGAGAAGGTAAGACAGATAGGTTTTTGAGGTAGGAGTCGCAGACTGGGTGCAGGAGAGGTGTGACAGGAGGGAGTCTTTTCCCTATTGCTGGAGCGGCTTTATTAGCCTGGAGGGGTGGGTGGGAAGTTTCTTGATCAGTGAGGTAAGGTCTTGCTTGGCCAGAACGGAGACTCAGGGAAGATTTTGGTATAAACTTTCAAGAGCCACGGTAGGATTCCAAAGCTAACTTTGTACCCGTTGAAGTTGTGAGTACCTCTGACCTTGGCACGCCACGCCCAAGCCCCACGCCACGGGAGGAATGGCATCCGCGTGTGTGGAAATGGATTTTAAAAGGTCCCACGGTGTCAGATTCACTCTGGTCATTTTGGTGGGTTTTCTCCTGCCCTGTTCGTTTTCTCCTTTTCGATGAATGGTTTCCGTAATTGTCTGAAAGGTGAAAAATCCTCCCTCTCCCATTTAATCAGAGACTGGGCTAGTTATGGTTGACTTGTGAAGAGATTTGTCCGGGTCCCTTGGAGCAAGTGGGAGGCAGAGCTGATGCAACTTGTTTCAGATTGCTTTCTGTGAAACAAACACGCGAAGAAAGAGCAGAAATCTTTGACAGTGGCAGACAGCCCTGGAAAACTGACAGCGTGAGATACCTGTCTCAGGGCTTGCTTTCAAAAATAATAAATCTACTAACGGAGCAACGATTTCTTTATGAAGTCCTGTAATTTCATTGCATCAAGATGAAACAAACAAAATTAAGGCATATCCTCCCCTTTCAATATTAACGTGATTTAGAAGAGGCAACATTGTTGCTATGTGAAAATGGTTTTTAAAGGTTGATAATCCGTAGCTGTGATTATTAACACACACAAACACTCAAGAAGGTTTGAGATTGTTTTTTAACCTCAAAATACTCAGGACAGGAGGTTTTGTAACTCTAAACAGGTTTGGGAACTTCTCAGAGCCAGGAGATCCTTATGTGTTGTTTGTTGACTTTGCATGATACCTTCGTTCTAGTGAACCTACTGGAGAAATAACATTCAGTTAAGCCCCAGGAAACAGAACATAAAATTTGAGTGTGGATATTTAAGTCCCCAGGAAAAGCTTCTCTACGAAGTGACCTTTTACAGCATTTATTGATTTGTTTATTGGAAGAACTTGTATTTGTTTCTCTTTAAATTAAAGATTAATTCTGAATTAAATCAAATGCTTGAGGTTAACTAATGGCAAAGAGGAGAAAAAATAATTTCATAATTTAAAAGATTAGCCAAGCACAATGACACATGCATGTAATCTCTGGAGGCTGAGGCAGGAGAAGTGAAAGTTCCAGCTCAGCCTGTGCAATTAATTTGGCGAGATCCTATTTTAAAACAGAAAAAGAGCTGGGGATGGAACTCAGTGCGAAGAGGCTCTGGGTTCAATGCCCAGAGCCACGCCCGCACCCACAGAGAAGGAGGGAGAGGGGGACAGGGAGAGGAGGGGAGGGAGACAGTGTAAGAGAGGAGAAAGAACCAGGACAGATTAAGTCACAGTTTCTCTGTGAGGGGATTGGTGCAGAGCATGTACTTTATTATTAAGATTTTTAAACATTTATTTGGTTTCTTTGAGACAGGGTCTCGCAGTGTAGTTGAGGCTGGCCTTCAATTAACTCATGTAGCCCAGGCTGGCCTCAAATTTGCGGTGATCCTCTTGCCTTCACCTCGGTGATCCTCCTACCTCAACTTCCTGAGTGCTGGGGTTACAAGGGTGGGCCTCCACACCCGGCGGGATGTGCGTTAAATGCTTATGTTCAGCCCATTGCAGAGTCCTAATCTCTTCTCAGCATCAAACTAACAGTTTAAGTGGGCCCAGCGAAGGGATTCGCTCACTTGTAAATAATGACTTGACCACACAGATGTCATTATTTAGAGGGTGCTCTTGTGTTTCTGTACTTTCTTGGAAATACTCTGGAGCCCATATTTATTTAAGCAACGCTATTTCCTAATCCTGACGTCTGAAAGTTCTCACTGGTGTGTCCGGACAAGGCTGGCTTGCTTTTCCTCTACTGCTAAAACGTTCACATGAACAAATTAGAACCCAGCCAGTCTTTTTTTATAATAGTGACTGTTGAATTGGTCTTTATGGTGAAGAAGTCTATGGAACTACATACGTATCTTCCTCAATATTTTGTGTCAAAGATCTGTTTCTTTTAAGTGGCCCCAAAGATTTAGAAACTTACAAGTAAATAGTTTAAGGGCTGGAAAGCACAGACGGACCATAAGAATCACATCTGCACATAAACTGTTGGTAAGAGCTTCACTCTTCCATACATTTCAAGCAAGCTCATTCAAATTATGAAATTGCACAGATTGAAAGGTGCTGCTATCTTTTATCTGTATGAGTACATTTATACTATTCCAAAACACTGCCGTGCAGTTATTGATTTATAAAATATCACTAGTTTATTATTTGAATTAATGTGGAATAATTCTGTAATCAGACCTATTTTTGCAAAATATGGAGTGATTAGGTAATTTGAATTTTTAGTACTCTTCCTTCCTGGCAAAGGGAGATTTATATTTGATTTCCTCCATTCTCCATATAGTACTTTGTTTCTTGTTCAGTTTGTTCAAATAAGAAAATTGGATAACATTTTAGGCAGATAACTATTCTTGAATATTTTGTATAAATTCTGTTGGAGGTTTTACTTGTGGGTGGATCAAGGTTTTCTCATTTTACTAATGGTTACTGTTTACTATATTGTCAAAGTGAAGGAGATACTTTTGAACTGATAATTTGGACTAGTTTAAATATCTGACTACTGAACTATCATTAAGACTGGCCACATATTATGGCCATTTGCTGATCTTTTCTAGCAAAGATTTTTTTTCCAGCAAACTCAGTTTTAATCTCTAATAGGAAAAATTTAATGAATTAGCTACTCTGTACTCAACCAATACTGAGTGATACAAAATTTAACATAAGATTTCACCCTTGTTTTCATCTTTTCTAAGAAGCAACCATTCTTAATTTTTTTGATTGATTGTGTTATATTGTTGTACATTACCATACTCCAGGATGGCAAGCTAAATTCCTTCACATTTGGAAACCTTTACCTGATCCATCTGTTTTTTGAGATGAGATTTCACTCTCCTGCCCTGGCTGGCCTGGAACTTGTGGGCTCAAGTGATCCTCTTGCCTCAGGCCCCGGAGTAGCTGGGAGTACAGATATGCATCGCCTATACCTGGCTGCTTGACCCATAAACTTCCTTCAAATTCATACTTTAGGCACATAATGAAAAAGGCATTAAGCCAGATGTGGTTGCACATACCTGTAATCTTAGCACTCTAAAGAGGATTGCATGTGCAATTAGTGACTTAGCAAGACTGTCTCAGAATTTAAAAAGGACTGGGGCTGTAGCTGAGTCTGAAGGTCCTGGATTCAGTCACCAGTACTAAACACACACACACACACACACACACACCACACATACCATACACACATGCGCATGCACACACCACACACATGTGCGCATGCACACACCACACGTGTACACACACCACACACACATATACCACACACATGTGTGCGCACACTAGATTTTAATCCTTAAGGGTGATAACATATTTGTCTGTGACAGTAAAACCAAGAAGCTGCTCACTAGTTTTTCATTTCTTCTAGTTCCTGTGCTCAGTATGTTTCCACTGACTGAAGAAAACAAGTTCGTGGCCCAGCTGTTGCTCAGTACTGGCACCTGTCCAAGATGTATCTTCAGGTTCTGCGGTGTGGATTTTCACGCACCTTACAGACTTCCTTACAAGGTATTTTCACTTTTTAAAATTAAAAGTGGTTTTCTGTACTTTAAAAATAAATATTTGTACCTTCAAAGGCAAGTATCTGTAACCCTTGATTAGATAAAAACCTATAATGAAATAATTACTGATAATGATAATTTCGGAATTGCCATTATCTTAAAAATTAATCTCAGGAATGTAAGTGGCTTCTGGAGGGATTATACCTATCATTTAGTATAGAGGGCTCTTTGTGGAGGAACTCCCTTGTACATTTAATGTTCGTGTAGACCTTTCGTAACGAGTATCTAAACAGAATATCACCAGATATTGTTAAGGTATAATAGGAGGGGATGATAGTCCTGATATCTTCTAGTAAGTGGCAGCATTGTGGCTTTGGTCAGCTTTTTTCTTGCTCTGTATTACCATCTGTACTTATTTTTGTGTTTCCAGTACCAGGGTTTGAATTCAGGGCCTCACAGATGTTAGGCAAACGTTCTACTACTGAGATGCAGACCTCACCTATCATTTGTATTTATACGTAGGTACAGTCAGGCATCACTTTATGAAGTGGGTATTTCTGAGAAATGCATCCTGAGGTGATTTGGGGATTGTGTGAACATCATAGAGTGTACTTAAACTAAGATGGCTATTATGTCACTAGACAATAGACTCTTTTTTTTTTTTTTTAAAGAGTAAAAGAAGGATAACATAATAAT